CCCCACCAAGCAGCCTGGCTGCTCCAGGAGCACCCCCAGCCCAGCCAGACCCCCAGCACACGGGGATCCCACGTGCATCCCCGCGCAGGGCAGAGGGGGCCTTTTTGAGTAGAATCCGGCAGTTTACCGACAATGCTCACCAACAGCGAACCAGTAGCGAACCCTGCGGGGTGGGAGGGAACAGGGGCTGCAGGGGGGCAGCTGAGGCAGCCCCCACCGTGGGGGCCCTTGGCGTCGCCTGCAGTGCCCCTCGCTCCCAAGGGTCTCCCTGACAGATGCCACAGCTGAGTGCCCGGCACCTCCAAGGGCGTGAGGAGCTGCACTTGGCGCATCTGGTGCTCAGCTTCATCACGATGGGCTACCTCTGGCAGGAGGGCGAGGAGGGCACTGTGAAGGTAAAAGCGACACGGAGCAGTTTCGCCTGGTCCTTGGGATCTGGGGGCTGATGCTGCTCCCCTGGGACTCATCCCATGGGAACAAAGACTTTCCTGAGGCTGCAGCAGGAGCGCGACCCCTCCTGCCTGGCCCGGGCACCTTTCCCCAGTCTGACGGCATCCCGGTCTTCTCCTGTGCTTTATGCCCTTCAGGTCCTGCCCCAAAATCTCGCTGTCCCCTTCTGGGAGGTCTCACAGGCCCTCGGCCTCCCCCCCATCCTCAGCCACGCGGACTTTGTGTTGGCCAACTGGAGGAGGAAGAACCCAAATGGGTAAACGGGCAAACACCGGCCGACCGAGCCCGGCTCTTTGTGTGGTCGGGGCAACAGTGATGAGCCCCAGCAGGTCCCGTGCAGCACATCAGGGACGAACGGCCCCAGACCACTTCTGTTCTGCCAAAACCCACTGAACACCCCCCATCACTGGGGGCCTGTCTCACAGAGAAGGTCCAGGGAGGGTCTTGCTGGGCAGGGGGGAGTGATGCTCCCTGGGGCTGCTGGCGCTGCAGCTGTGGGCACCCAGTGGGGAACTGGGGGCATCCGGGAGCATCTCCCGCCCCGGGCATGGCACTGCCCTCGGGCCAGTGAGCTCACTTCTCTCCTGCAGAGCACAGTCCGTGTCTGAACGATTCATAACGTCTCTCTTTCTCTCTCCTTTCCGATGCATTTGTTGCCAATAACCAAAATGCCTCCAGGCCTCTGGAAATCGAGTAAGTATTTAAGATGCTTATTTATTTTCTAACAGTATTAGTTTTGTTTGAACTGGCTCAGCGCTGCGGCACTGCGGGCTCAGGCTGAACCTCTCTCCATACACGAGCACAACAAAACCAGCGCAGCCTTTGGCACGCGACTGCCGCTGCAACAGCCGCACAGCGCCGCGACCACGGCCCGACCGTGGGCTGCTCTGGTCTGCGCAGACCCGGCCGTCACCGGCCGGACTTTTAGCCCAGCGAGGGCATGGGGAGGGTGGCAGGTCCCTCAGACACAGAGCAGCCCCTCTCCCCTTTTGCCCTGTGCCAGCTTGTCTCTGCCCGGGGTGCAGAGAAGAGGCTCTGCTGCCAGTTTTGCTCTGAGAGCCCAACACGCCCCGGGGTATACGGGGAAATCCCAAGCAAGTGCCCTACTAAGCCCCACGCACTCGGCCGCTCCGCTGGTTGCCCCTGCAGGAACCTGGACACCAT